CTACAGTTGGTTTCTGTTGCTTGCAATACAACTCAGCTGTATTGCAATATAACACAAAACTGAAAAATTCAAAGAAGGCTGAAAAAGTAGCAGCTTGGTTTAATCTGGACTTGGATTTGGGAGACCTGGTTTCCAGTCCTAGCTCCACTGTTTTTTCTGTTTTTGTTTCTGATTTTTTTTTTTTTTGAGACAGACACTCGCTGTGTTGCCCAGGCTGGAGTGCAGTAGTGCAATCTCGGCTCGCTCTAGCCTCTGCCTCCCGGGTTCAAGTGATTCTCCTGCCTCAGTCTCTCAGTAGCTGGGATCACAGGCACACGCCACCACACCTGCCTAATTTTTGTATTTTTAGTAGAGACGGGGTTTCACCATGTTGGCCAGGATAGTCTCGATCTCCTGAATTCATGATCTGCCCGCCTTGGCCTCTCAAAGTGCTGGGATTACAGGTGTGAGCCACTGCACCCAGCCTCCACTGTTTACTTAGCTGAATGACTGAGTCTAAAGAGGTCGTCACTGAGCATGTTTGCTCTTCTTTAAAATGTTCCATAAATATTTCTTGAATGCCTCATGTGACAGATGAAGGGAATCACAATAGAGTTTCATATATTCTGAAAGAGATATTTATGTCCCGCAGAATTTTTTTAAAGAATAATATGAAATAAAGTTCATGAAAACATTTGATCAGATATAAGATATTGTCTAAAAAAAGCCTTTCTTTCTGGGTATCTTCAAAATTACTTATGGCCCCCACCCAGGGATCATCTCTTGCTCTTTTCACAGATAATTTACATGTTGGATCTAATGTTATCTTGTTGCTACTTACTTAGTACAAATAATCATTCCTAAGGTTTTCCTGCCTATATTTAAAATAGGCAATTACATAAAATCTCCTCTTAGGCAAAAGAAAATATTTTCCTGGAGCCAATTCAGAAATCTAGAGTACTTCTCTGTATTAATTTTCTAATAATTCTTATATAATCATGTGTACACAAAAATCCAACACTTTTGTCCTTCTGTATGATACTATGAGGCTCTTATTTTGATATTAGGGCACAGGGGCCGACTTTTGGCAGAGTGACTTGGGGACATAATTAACAGCTGACATACACTCTGCTTCTGGGACTCTTGATTTCTCTTGCTAAGCAATAATGACCTATATGCAAAGCTGGGTTTGCTCTATTCTTAAATCTCTGAATATATCCGAGTCAATAGAAAAGTTGCAAATGGATTACAGGTCACTAAGCCTGGGTTTTAAAAAGAGAAGCAAGCCAGGTGCAGTGGCTCATGCCTGTAATCCCAGCAACTTGAGAGGCAGGAAGAAGCCAGTAGTTAAGAGACCAGCTTGAGCAACACAGTGAGACCCCTGTCTCTACAAAAAAATGTTTTAAAAATTAGCCAGGTGTGGTGGCACATGCCTATAGTCCTAGCTACTTGGGAAGCTGAGACAGGAGAATCCCTTGAGTCCAAGAATTGGAGGCTAGAGTAAGTTATGATCATGCCACTGCACCCCAGCCTGGGCAACAGAGTGAGATTCTGTCTCTTAAAGACAAACAAACAAACGAACAAAAAACAGAAAAAAAAGAGGCAAATAATTTGAGATGAACAAAATCATAATTCACCCTATTAGGGAATTTGCTCAAGATTCCAAGCTATCTTGGTTAAAGATATGCGTGCATTTGCACATGTGTTTACATACACAGGTACACAAATGAAACCAACCACTAAGTCTCAGGAAAATGCTGCTGTGGACAGTTGCCACAGTTCAGGTTTCAGATCCAGGTTCGACATAGCATTCTACTTCACTTTACTCCCTCCCCTTTGAAGCTAAAACAACATAGCCCTTGGAGTCATAGATTTTTGGTTGTAGAACAAAACTTAGAAGTTATCTGACTAGATAACTGACTATCCAGATGACTAAATCATCTGCCAGATGATGTGAGAGATCCCTCTGCAATATCCCCCACAGCTGGTAACTTGTTTGAAGAGACAGGGTTTCACAGTATCTAAAGCACACGCTTTGAGTCAGAGACACATCTGGGTTACCCAGGCTCTACCCCTTACTAGTAGTCATCTAGGTACCTTAACCTCACTTCCCTCAGTTGTAATTAAGGGGTGATAACAGTACCAACCTCATAGGGCTAGTGTGATGCTTGAGTAGACTACTTAAGCGGTACAGTAAGGACTTAGCATGTAGTAAGTGCTCATACAAAATGTTAGCTAGCACTGACTACTGCTGTAATAGGCCCATTCCAAAGTTAAAACAGCTCCAACTATCAGAAAGGTCAAAACCAGCTGTCTGCTTCCTCCCTCTCATGAATCCTAGTCTGCCCTACAGAATTTCACCAGTCTCTGAGTCACTGGCAACAGAGAGGGTGGGTGGGGCCATGGCCCACCTGAGTCTCCTTGTTACCAAGCAGAACATGCCCAGCTTCCTCGACGGTTCCTCATGTGGCCTCCATGATCAATGTGTTCTCCTCTGGACGTGCTCCTGCCTGCCAGGGCCCCTTTAAATGTGGCACCTGTTTTGTCTTTTTTATATAAGGCCATTGTGTTGATTATTTGGGCAGAAACCACCTAACTCAGCCTTAAATAGTGGTTAATTAAACCCCAGAGGCTTGTGTCAAAAGTTTGCCAAGAGCAGTTAGCCAGCTTCTTGCCAGCTGTGCAACCTCTAGCATCTCAGTTTCCTTGCCTGTAAGATAAAGGGAATAACAGTACCTACTTCACTGGGTAACTGGTAATTGTGAAGATTCCATGAGCTAAGATTTCTTCTACTCCTATTCTTCCCTGATCCCCCTCCAGTCTGGTTTGTGTTTGTTTGTTTGTTTTTGAGACAGAGTCTCACTCAGCTGCCCAGACTGGAGTGCAGTGACGCGATCTTGGCTCACTGCAACCACCATCTCCCAGGTTCAAGCGATTCTCCCGTCTCAGCCTCCTGAGTAGCTGGGATTACAGGCACCCGCCATCATGCCCGGCTAATTTTTATATTTTAGTAGAGAAGGGGTTTCACCATGTTGGCCAGGCTGGTCTTGAACTCCGGACCTCAGGTGATCCGCCCGCCTCGGCTCCCAAAGTGCTAGGATTACAGGCATGAGCCACCGTGCCCTGCCCCGTCTGGTTTTAATGCACACAAATCCACTGAAACCACTCTCATCAAGGTTACTGACCATCATCATACAGTCAAATCCAATGGTCAAGTTGGCCTGTGTCTTTCTTGACCACTTAGCAATGCTTGTCATATCCAATCATGCCTTCCTTCTCCAAATACCTTCTTCACGTATCTCTTACAGGACACCCCCCTCTTCTGACTGTCACACTACCTCTCTGGCTACTCCCTCATAGTCTCCATTGCTAGATCCTCCTCCTCATCTCAACTTCAGCTTCTAGCTGCTTGACTGCCCCATGTCAGTTTCTTTCAGAGTCCATACTCACTCCCCCTAGGTAGTCTCACCCAGTGTAATATAATGGATAGGAACATGGACTGTGGAGGCAAGCTGCCTTCCTAGGTGGACCCCTATACTTTTAAGTCGTGTTATATAGGCCAGTGACTTAACCTCAAGGTGCCTCAGTTTCCGCACCCATAGAATGGGGGGTAACTTCATATAGTTGTTGCAAGGATTAAATTAGTTCATACAGGTAAAGTACTTAGAATGTGATAAGGATTTTCTAAGTGTTAACTAGTACCCAGTTCCATGGCTTTCTATATCACATATATACATATACTGATTATTCCCAAATGTATATACACAGTTTCCATTATTCCTCTGAACTCCTCATTCATATCTAAATGCCTACCTGACATCTCCACATTGATGTCAAATGAAATCTCAAAAGTTCATATCACCAAAACTGAACTCTTGATTCCATGTCATCTCCCAATCTTCTTTCCCCTAGTCTCCCCGGTTTCACTCAAACTGTATCACCATTCACCCAGTTGTACAGGCCAAAAACCTTAGAGTCATCCTTAACTCTTTTCTCCCTTATCCAACCTTCAGCAAATCTGATTACTCCACCTTCAAAATGTATCCAGAATCTGGTCTCTCCTCACTCCTTCCACCACTACCATCTGGAACAAGCCACCATCATTTCTTGCCTGAGCAACTGCAATGCCATCTAATTGGTACCTCTGTTTCCCTCTTTGTTCCCACATGATCTATTCTGTAGCCAGGAACAAGAATATTCTTCAAAAATGAAAATCAGATGTTGCTCCCCTGATTAAAACTCTCTGATGAGTTTCCACCACATGTGGAATGAAATCCAAACTCCTCTCATTTACTAACAATACTCTAAGTGATCTGCCTTTATCTCCTTTGCAGCCTCATCTCTTACCACTCTCCCCTTACCTACTCTACTCCAGTCATAATGTCTGCCCTGTGTTTGTCAAACTCATAAGCAAGTTTCTGCTTCAGAGCCTTTGTACTTGCAGTCCCTCAGGCTAGAACGTTCTTTTCCCCATCTTTACATGCCCCTTCCTCATTTCTTTGCAAACTTTACTCAAATGTTACTTATAGAGACCTTCACAGTCCATCACATCTAAAAAACAACCTGTCCTCACTTCTGACCCTTACTGTCCCTTTATCCTATTTTTCTTCGTAGCACTTAATAATACACAAATAAACATATATTGTGCATATATGTTTATTTGCCCAGTTATACATAAATAAAGACGTTTATTTATTTGTCATGCCTACTAGAATGTCAGCTCCTTGGGGACGGCAACTGTATTCCATTCTGTTCTCTGCAGTATCCACTGCACCTAGGCAGTGTCTGAAACACAGGAGGCACTCAATAAATATATCTTGAATGAATGAAGAAACAAATAGTGCTTAGCACAGCTCCTGGACAGAATAAACAACTGTAAGTTTGTAATGTCAATTTTCGAAGGTAAAAAAATGTTTAATAGAAAGGCCAAAATTCTTTAGTGATACTATATATGATGTCAAAAATGAAAACATCACATTTTAACTTAATTTCAATATAAATACACATTATATTATACTCACTTGGAGTTTCTTCTAAAATTTCCTGGAACTTGGTTCTCTCATATTCCACCAACTGGCGTTGAAGGTGTGGTCGGAGACTCATAATTGTAAAATTGGCCATGTCCATTTTCATGAGGTCCAGGACATGGAATATTTGTCTAAAAATTTTAGAATTAAAATGGAAAGATGATTAAGAAGTGAAGCTGAAATTCACTAACAATGATCTATGTTCCAGGCCAAAAACAATAAACATCCCCAAAATGGTTTTAAAGTTTCAATTGCCATTTGGTAGGGTCATGTTTCATAGGTCATATGTGTGTACTGCAAATGTGTTCTTCCACAGATCTCAAGAGTAATTATTTGAAGCATAAACAATCTTAATGATGCAAGAAAAATTCAAGAAGGAATTTTCATTTGAAAGCCCCTGAAATTTTAAAGAGCCTGGACACAGGGCATATGGCTTCTATTCCTTAGGGAATAAGAAAAATTTAAAAAAGAAAGGACAAGGCAGTGAGGCACTGAGGAAAAATACTTCCTTTTAGAGTTAAGCAGCCCTGTGCTCAAACCCAGCTTTGCAACTCACCAGATTTGTGGGCATATACACAAGTAAATCAGTCTCTCTGAGCCTCAGTTTCCTCATCTGTGAAAGAGGACAACCTCAACCTTGGGGGGATGTTGTGAACAGTCAATGAGATAACAATCGTAAAGTGCAGGGGGCAGTGGCATCCAGTAGGCGCTCAACAAATGACCATGATGAACATCACAGATTTGAGATTGTACTAGGGTAATAAGACAACTAGAAGCAAGGATCCCATAACTGAGGAATTACAATCTGCCAGAGCCAAGCACGACTCTAAGGATACCTAACACCCGTTCGACAGAGACTGTCACTTTGAGAGTCGATCAACCTGCCCAAGATCACAAAGTAAATTACCCACTACATGCAGACTGGTCTTTCTCCTACCTTTCCAAAACATTTACATCAAACTCAATTCTCAATGTGGCCACCACACACAAAAAAGAAGAAAAGTCCACTTCAATGGCAAAAAGTGTTGCAGACTCTTCTTTCCTCTTAGATCACAAGGAAGTTGTCATCTATGTGGCCAGATGAGATCCTCGTGACATAATATGCACCCCACTTCCTCAGAGAAGCTCCAGCAGACGTGGCTGGCTGACCACTAAAGGCCCATGCTCCCTCCCCGCAGTGCAGATTTGTGGCTGTGAAAAGTCTTTCCAGGCTGTGACTACCCTTCTCAACTCCCCTTTCAATCTAGGAGGGATCATGTGACTAGTCATGGTCAAAGGGAATGTGTCACTTTGGGGCTGAGGTGGCTATATATTACATATGTCTCCCCAGTGGTCTCTTTCCCATTTGCCAGCTGAAAGGAGAGGACTCTAAGGACCTGAGCAAGGGTAGAGCCAAGCAAAGAAGGAGGTTGGGTCCTTGGATGAGATGTGGAGAGTTGTCTGATCAAGGACCCCTGAATTGGACTGCGACATCAGTGAGAAACAAACTTTTATTGGATAAACTACTGAGAATTTAGAGTTTACATGTTATAGCAGCCAGTGACCGTAACTAATAAAGAAGCCTCGACCAGATTAGGTCCCTTGTCGGAGACTCTGTTAAGACCCTCTACCTCCCCTTCCACTTATCACAACTGTAATTAATTGTTCAAGGTCTCTCTCCCCATTAGACTCCCGGAGTCAGGGATTATATCTGTCTTTTTCATCACTGCATCTCCAGGGCCCACTACGTGCCAACTAACAACCTTGTCAGATCATTCTATGTGAAAACTCTCTGCATACAGTAAATAATTGACATGGTCTCTGCTTATATGGTTTTCTTCTAAGGTCAGTAATTTATTTGGGGTACTAGTTGTTATTCTGTGTTCACCGATGCCCAACTTCCCTTCTGAATGAACTCAAAGATACTCTAGGAAATGCAAACAGCAAAAGTGCTAACCTTAGCACCTCCACGATGTTGCCAGTAGCCTTTAACTCTCTGATATCGTTATCTCGCACAGGAGCACACAGCTTTCCCATCGTACTGATGACATAGTTGGCCAGGCCTTGGATGTCAACAGCACTGTGCTCAGCCTGCTGCCTAATGAGGTCTGTGTCCAAAACTTCACAGATCTGGTTGCGAAGCCGGTTGCCACCGGGAGTCAGAAAAGAGAGAAGAATCTACAGGGAAACAAATAAAAATTAACAGCATCATGATGTGAATAAAAGCTGTCACTTTTCACCTCAGTGTCTAGATGACCAAGCCCTTTGCCCATATTTTAGTGTCTTACATGCCACAGAAGTTGACACTGACTGCATGGTGGATCAGAGGAGCATTCCAGTGTCTCAACTCTAAAAAGAAAGGTCTATCTTCTGAATTAAAGTGCCCCCACCATGGGAAATTCCTGCTCCTGTAAGAATAAAAACACCTAGCAAGGAAGCAAGATTACTGAAAGCACAGTAAGTCCTTACTTAACATTGCTGACAGGTTCCTGGAAATTGCAACTTTAAGTGAAATGATATATAATGAAACCAGTTTTACCATAGGCTAATTGATATAAACAACGGTTAAGTTTCTATGGCATATTTCTGGTCACACAAAAAATCACCAAACTTCTCAATAAAGACCTCAAACACTTCTAATATTAAACACTGAGATAAATGTGAGCTATACATATAAGAAAAATTAATAAAAACAAGAGAATGATTTACCCAATTTTTGGTGAATCAATGAGTGACAGCTGCCATGGTGGTACGTTAAATTGGGGAAGAAATGTTTGCAAACAAAAACTGTTAAGGAACACCACCTACCACCACACAGTTCAAAAATAAATAGTAATTATGACAGGCTCACTGAGCACTTTCATAGCACATTGTTTATTGTTGTGCATCTGTATGATTATCGAATACTTTATGAATTTTTATGTTACAATAACTTGTATTCATTCATTTTCCAACCTGCTTACTCCAGTTCAGGGATGCAAGTGGCCAGAGCCTACCATGGCAGCTCAGAGCATAAGGCAGGAACCAGCCTGGGACAGGATGCCATCCCACTGCAGGATGCACTCACTCACACACCCACACTCACTCAGACTGAGACCATTTAGACTTGTCAATGAACTTAACATGCATATCTTTGGGATGAGGGAGGAAACCAGAGTACCCAAAGAAAAGCTATGCAGACATGGGGAGATCATACAACCTCCACACAGACGGCAGCCCCAGCTAGGAATCTATCTTTTTACTTTTTCTTTCTTTTTTTTTGAGATGGAGTCTCACTCTGTCATCAGGCTGGAGTGCAGTGGCACGATCTCGGCTCACTGCAATCTCTGACTCCCAGATTCAAGCAATTCTCCTGCCTCAGCCTCCTGAGTAGCTGGGATTACAAGTGTGCACCACCACACCCAGCTAATTTTTGTATTTTTAGTTACAGATGGGGTCAACATGTTGGCCAGGATGGTCTCGATCCCCTGACCTTGTGATCCGCCCATCTGGGCCTCCAAAAGTGCTGGGATTACAGGCGTGAGCCACCGCCTGGCCGGAATCTATCTTTTTGCTTATCAACATTGTAAAGAAAAAACATTGAACAAATCAATAGGATGCGAGGATCTGCTGCATTTCAAAACGTCTACAGGTAAAAGTTCAGGGAAAAGAGAACAAGTGGCAGACCATAGCTCTAAAAGAACTCTTTAAAAAAAGGATAGATGAAAATATCCCATAGGGTCCATTAAGTATATTTTACACATAGAATATTTATTATATATGAGCAGCCTATTTATTGATTATTCAGTTAACAGAGGACACTGTGCTTATCCACACAACACATGCTTAGGAGCCTGCGCTCTGAGCCAGTGTGGCTCAGTTCAAGTCCCTCTCTATCCCTCAAAGCTGTGTGACCCTGCATGAGTCAGAAAACTTGTTTTTTTTAATAAATAAGAATAACAGGAGCAACTACTGCACAGCATTCTGATAAGAAATGAACAATGTAGTACAAGTGCCTTGTAAATGTTGGCTAGCATTACAACTGTCACCTCATTTAGTTCTTATGACTATCCTAGAAGTACTCAGGAAAGAGAGACTTAAAGAGAGAACCTATCACTAAACCAGGACAACAATCTAACTCTAGAGTCTCTACCCTTTAGCATCACCCTAAGCTGTGTCCACAGCACTATTTTCCCAGCCTTCACTCTACTCCAGGAGGCGCAGGGGAAACCCTGTCAGTGAACTTGATCCTTTTTTGAAAAAGAGTGGCCAGTACTAAAGGACATACAACAATCTTTGGGGGAAAAAAACTGCTATACTTTCGATGTTTGTGTTTTCCTCTGTCCCCAAATTCGTATGTTGAAACCCAATCCCAAATGGAATGGTATTAGAAGGTGGGGCCTTTGGGAGGTGATTAAGTCATAAGGGTAAGGTCCATATGAATGGAACTGTACCCTTATAAAAGAGACCCTAGGTTGGGCGTGGTGGCTCACGCCTGTAATCCCAGCACTTTGGGAGGCCAAGGCAGGCAAATCATGAGGTCAGGAGATCAAGACCATCCTGGCTAACACAGTGAAACCCCGTCTCTAGTGAAAATATAAAAAAATTAGCCAGGTGTGGTGGCACACACCTATAGTCCCAGATACTCAGGAGGCTGAGGCAGGAGAATCACTTGAACCTGGGAGGCAGAGGTTGCAGTGAGCCAAGATTGTGCCACCGCACCCCAGCCTGGGCAACAGAGTGAGACTCCGTCTCTAAACAAAACAACAACAAAAAGACCCTAAAGAGCTTCTCTGCACTTTCTGCCATGTGAGGACACAGCAAGAAGGCACCATCTATGAATTAGGGAGTGAGCCCTCACCAGATGCCAAATCTGCTGGTGCTTTGATCTTGGACTTCCCAGCCTCCAGTACTGTGAGAAGTAAATTTCTACTGTTTACAAGCCACCCAGGCTATGCCAGTCTGTTATGGCAGCCCACCCGGAGCAAGACGCTAACTGACACAGACAACACAGCAACTTGCCTCTCTGATTTCTTCAAACAGTTTGATGGCATGTTCAAACTCAGGAGGGTCAGCATTTAGTTCTGAATCCAAGACGTCCCAGAAGGCCTGGTGAACAATGTGCTTCACTCGACCAGCCAAACTATGGCAATAAAATGAATTGTTTTTTAAAATAAGCATCATTTTTTCCTGATTATAAAAGAAATATCCTCATTGTAGAAATCTTATAAAATGTAAAAAAAAAAAAAAAAAAAAACCCAGAATTGTCCTTAATCCCATTATTAATCTTTTAATATTTTTCTTGTTGAATGCATTATTTTAACATAGCTAAGCGCATATATGCAAAATATATACTTTTCATTTAACATTCTGTTCTGTTTCCCCTAGACCTTGAAAATGCTTTCAATAACTTCATAAAATTCTGTCCTAAAGAGATTTCATAATTTATGTAGCTATCCTTCTATTCAGATCTTTAGACTTGTTCTACATTTTTGGGATGAGATGGCAAAGTTGCTCTTCCTCACCAGCTGAAATTTCATGGCATGGAATAGAACAGATTGGCCCCAAGGGCACATGCATTTGAATGCCTGCCAACTTCAGCTTAGGTGTCCCATTTAAAGTTAGCCAGACCAAACTGCCGAAATAGAAGCCTTCTGAGGAAGAGCTCACAATAGAATAAGTGGCCACCTTGCTTCATCCCTTATGTCAATCCCTTAAAATAGGTGCACATTAAAATACACATTCCTACCTCACTCCTATACCATTTAGCAACAGCTTTTAGAAAACCACATCCCTCCACTGTAATTACTGACGAGGCTGTTTTCCCACAGAGCTATATACCTTTCCCAAGCAGAGGCCATAAGACCTTCATGTAGGTACTTACCATTGTGCCTAGCACAGTGCCTTGACAAATGCATGGTGAATGAATTCATAATTTGATAATTATATCTCTTTTTTTTTTTTTTTTTGAGATGGAGTCTCACTCTGTCGCCCAGGCTGGAGTGCAGGGGCGCAATCTCAGCTTACTGCGGCCTCTGCCTCCCAGGTCCAGGTGATTCTCATGCCTTAGCCTCCCAAGTAGCTGGGATTACAGGCGTGCACCACCACACCCAGCTAATTTTTGTATTTTTAGTAGAAACAGGGTTTCACCACATTGGGCAGGCTGGTCTTGAACTCCTGATCTCAGGTGATCTGCCCGCCTCAGCCTCCCAAAGTGCTGGGATTACAGGTATGAGCCACCACGCCCAGATAAAACTTTAATAAACAAAGGCAATGTGTCCTAACTCTGTACTTTGTTTCCCTTGCTCACATTTTCTAGCCACGGCAGAAACTGAAGGTAAGAGAGATTAATATTTTTCATAATATCAAAGTATTTATGCGCAAGGCACTTTTATGCTAGTGAGCATGCATTTGAAGTGAGTAGTGTAGCCCCCACCTTATTCTTGGGAAGCATGAGGTTCAGGTATGGTCTCAGCAAAGCCAGGATTCAAACCCCAGGGTCTGTCTGAGCCTAAAGTGCCTTCACTATGGCCTGTACTCGCCACTTTTGAATTTAAAGTACAGATATGCCCTGTCTTTTGCTTTACTTCATACAAAATACAAATTTTAACTTTAAAATGAGACTCCGTCTCAAAAAAACATTCATTTGTATTAGTCAATAAATGTTTATTGAACATCTAATATCTGGGAAAAGAACATTCAAAAAGGAGAAGTCAGAGGAACAAAGTTTCTGAGACAAGATCCAGGTTAGTGAACCCTGAGGTCAGAAAGGAAGCCAGTGTGGCTGAAGCACAGCAAGCAGGAGAGACAGCACTGAGACAGGGTCAGGGGAGTGGGGCCATCCAGGCCATACGGAAACACTTAGATTTTTAGTCTCTGAGTAACTGAAAACCATTGAAGGGTTTCTGGCAAAGAAATCATCTAATATAGCTTATTCTTTAAAAAGATCATTAAGGCTACTGTGTGGGTATGGAAGATGAACTGTGGGGGGCTAAGAATGGAGACAGGGCAACCAGTTAGGATTGAAAGGGTCCAGGCCAGAGATGATGGTGGCCTAGCCTAGGGTTGTAGCAGTAGAGCTGGTATCAAGGGTCATGGAGAAATGCAGTTACCAAAGGAAACCAAACAGATATGCCCACGATAGATGGCAAGCTTAAAAAATGTTCATATTATATGAACAACATCCCCAGGAGGACTATGATCCACTTTTTAAAGAAGAAAAATTATTACATTGACTTCCTTTACTTTTCCTGCTTTAAAACAAATGAAAAAGTTCTGAATGGGATCAAATATTCTCAGTTGTCTTAACTGATCGAATGCCTCAGGATTCATAACTGGTACTGCGAGGCTGAAAATTCAATCCATGAACCAACTTTGTTTCTAAACATGATTGATCTGTAATAATAGTCTCAAGCCTCTTCTCCTCTTTGTCCCAGGAAACCTGTGAGCCACTGACTCTAAAAAGGCTGAAGTAGGATCCAAAGGGGTGGCTCCAACTAGAGGTCCGAGGGCGAGGTTAACCAGGAAGTACCTCTTGCAGCTGTGACTCCCATTTCCAGACATTTCTGGATTGCCTACTTTTAGCACTTTGACCGTTCAGGTGCATTTATTTATTCTTCAGAACCTGAATATCAGTTTTCAATAAATCAATCTGCAAATATTTCTTGAGCCTGTACTGTATGTCCGGCACTATGCTAGACAATAAGGATACAGCAACAAACAGTACAGACATAGCTCCTCCATAAATGATGCATTTCAATCAAGTGGGGAAGATGGACATCAAACAAAATTATAAGACCTCTTAACAAAAGGGAGGCAGCAAGGGCCACAGGTGTCTCTAGCAAAGGGATTGATTGTAGTCTAGGGGGTTCAGGAATGTCAGAAAAAGTTTCCCTCAGGAAGTGACATATAAACTGAGTTCTAAAGATTATAGGTAATATGTATCCTCGGGGAATTTTTTTTTTTGAGATGGAGTCTCACTCTGTCGCCCAGGCTGTGGTGCAGTGGTGCAATCTCGGCTCACTGAAACCTCCAACTCCTGGGTTCATGCAATTCTCCTGCCTCAGCCTCCCAAGTAGCTGGGATTACAGATGCCCCACCACCATGCCCGGCTAATTTTTGTATTTTTAGTAGAGATGAGGTTTCACCATGTTGGCCAAGCTGGTCACAAACAGGAATTTTTTTTTTTTTTTTTTTGAGATAGGGTCTTGCTGTGTCACCCAGGCTGGAGTGTAGTGGCATGAGAGCTCACTGCAGTCCCTAAACTCCTGGGCTCAAATGATCTTTTTGACTCATTCTCTTGCGTAGCTGTAATTACAGGCTCATGCCACCATGCTGGATAATATTTTTATTTTTAATTTTTGTAGAGATGGGGTCTTGCTTTGGTGCCCAGGCCAGCCTCAAACTCCTGGCTTCAAGGAATCCTCCCGCCTCCACCTCCCAAAGTGCTGGGTTTACAGGTGTGAGCTACCACACCCAGCCAGAATTTTTTTAAAACAAGTATAAGAACCTTGTTAGAGAACTAAATGTTTACCCCGAGGATATTATACAAGAACTTCCAGGAATCAGTGTGAGTATGTCTCTCTCTCTCTCTCTCACACACACACACACACACACACACACACACACAATCTTCAGCACAGTTTACATATAACAAATGTCCCCAGGTTACCTGTTTTCTGGGAGGGCCTCTTGTTTCAATTGAAAATTCTCATTTACAGCAATCTCGTGAGCAAGAGTCAAGTTTGATAAGTTCCTTGTTGCAGCCATCACTTCGTCAAATGTTACAACTCTTGGAGGGCTTGTTGCTGAAAGAAAAAAAAAAGCCAGTTAATGTTGTGGAAGAAAAGTTGTCATCCAATGAAGCCTCCTGATGCAGATAAGGTTTAATTTATCAGAATGTACAGACTTCAGAGTTTTATAAGTAAGGAGACTATATATTAAAAGAGGTGAATTCCCTCACTTAATAAAGGCTTCAAAAATTTAAGAACTCCTTCAATAGCTTCAGTTACCATATTTGATAACATTGTCTCAAATATTTCTGAGACCATCTTATTAATATAGGCCCATTATAAGTTACTTTCAAAAATTAAATTACCAGGCCGGGCGCAGTGGCTCACGCCTGTAATCCCAGCACTTTGGGAGGCTGAGGCTGGTGGATCGTGAGGTCAGGAGATCGAGACCATCCTGGCTAACATGGTAAAACCCCATCTCCACTAAAAATAGAAAAAAATTAGCTGGGTGTGGTGGCGGGTGCCTGTAGTCCCAGCTACTCGGGAGGCTGAGGCAGGAGAATGGCGTGAACCCAGGAGGCGGAGCTTGCAGTAAGCTGAGACTGCGCCACTGCACCCCAGCCTGGGCGACAGAGCGAGACTCTACCTCAAAAAGGAAAAAAAAAAATTACCTCATTTTTAGTGCCCATTGAAACCTGCACTTACATGTATTATATAGGAAATTGATAAAATTATTTTTATTCTATAATTCAGAAGTCTCATTAAGTAGACTCAATATGAAATAACTGATTTTTAGAACTATAATATTTATTTATTTATTTATTTATTTGAGATGAAGTCTCACTTTGTTGTCAGGCTGGAGTGCAGTGGTGCAATCTCAGCTCACTGCAACCTCCACCTCCTGGGGTCAAGCGATTCTCCTGCCTCAGCCTCTCAAGTAGCTGGATTACAGGCACGTGTCACCACGCTTGGCTAATTTTTGTATTTTTATTAGAGATGGTGTTTTGCCATGTTGGCCAGGCTGGTCTCGAACTCCTGACCTCAGATGATTCGCCTGCCTTGGCCAAAGTGCTGAAATTACAGGTGTGAGCCACCGCGCCTGGCCAAAAACTGTAATTTTTAAATGTATAAGCGGTATAGTATAAATGCTCAGGTTCACTCTAAGTTTTGCCAGTTGGTATTTATCATTGGATTTCACTGAGGCATAGCCTTCCTCCTCACAGGGTTGGCCTGAGGTGACTGAATGAGATAATTTAAGAAAATAGTAAGAACTCAATATTAATTTACATAATTAAAAGTAAAACAGAATAAATCTGAGAAGCCGGATATTGTACTTCTCAGTAGGAAGTAGTAAATGAAGAATTTGAGTTATTTCTAAAGATTATACTAAGAAACTATTCTAATAAATTATGTCTTTTTAAAATCACTGTTGGAAATCTTAGGTTCTTTTAATTAAAATCATAATGTCAAACAACAGCAGTGACAGGAAATACTTTACTACCTAATTTATTATTTTCTCAAGATGGAGTCTTGCTCTGTCACCCAGGCTGGAGTGCAATGGTGCAATCTTGACTCACTGCAATCTCCACCTCCCAGGTTCAAGTGATTCTTCTGCCTCAGCCTCCCGAGTAGCTAGGACTAGAGGTGCATGCCACCATGCTCAGCTTATTTTTGTATTTTTAGTAGAGATGGGGTTTTACCATGTTGGCCAGGTGGTCTTCAACTCCTGACCTCAGGTGATTCGCCTGCCTCAGCCACTCAAAGTGCTGGGATTACAGGCATGAGTCACTGCGCCTGGCTACCTAATTTTTAGGAAATGAGGAAGAGGATCAGAGAAAGAGGAGGAAGAAAAGAAAGGTGATGCACAGAATTGGTAAAACCCTTCTTCAGGATGTCTAGGTACCCCGGTGTCAGATCTGCCAACCCCACATACAGTATAAAGAGTGAGAAAAGGCACAGAAACCTGGGGTGGCTGCTGTTAATTTCTTTTGCCAGGTCTGACTCAAGATTCTCCTTAAAAATGTCTATATACTTTGGTCCAATAATCCAGTAATATCCAAAAGACTTTCCAGAAAGGCTTCATGAACTAAGATGTTCATAAAGCACTATTTGTAACAGCAAAAAAAAAGGAAACTAACTAAATGTCCAATGATGAATCAATGGTTAAGTTTACTGTATATTCACTTGATGAAGTAATAGGTATTCATAAAACCAATGTTTCAAAAACATGTAATCATGAGTAAACGTTTTAGTTATAATACTAAGCAAGAAGAGTCCACACATAAATACATACATATGTCTATGTGAAGGATAAAGATACGGCAAAGCACTGCCCGCTGTCGTCTTTGGGTGATATCATAGGCAATGTTTTCTTTTCTCTATTCTTACGTATTTTCTAAGTTTTAAAAAATAAAAATGTAAAAATTTAAAACACAAATGAAGCAATTTGTAAGAAGTGGACAGTTCAGCATATTAAACATTAGTTGCTGTTTCCTGCGTTTGCTTTGCCAGTTAAAGGTGTTATACTTACTAAATAAAGCGCCAATTAAAAAAAAAGCCAAACACATCTGCTTTACACATCTCTAGTTTCTACACCCAAAAACGGGAAAAAGATATCTCCTTTTGCTGTGACCTCTCTTTTAACTCTTTCTCACACCCCTAATGTAGTAATTCTCCTTGTGGGTACCTTCCTGGGGTGATTTGCACAATATTTTTTGAAATCAACATGAAACCCTTTAGATTATTTCACTTCCTTCCTGACCTTTCAATGAAGACCAGTTTCCTTCAGTGTAAATCAGGAATACTCAGAAAAGACCAATTTGAATTTATCCTTAAGCGGGTATCTAAGAAGTAATCTCAAGGAATGGCTTTCTGCCATTTGGGAGAAAAGACAGACGAGGTTGAAGTCCTGCTTTATCGTCAGACCGAAGCAGATCGGAGGCAGTGATCAAAATAAAAATCAGCAGGTTGTAAACTTTAGTGGCAATTTATTTCTGAGCATGTGTCCAGGAAAGCTGCAGTGCCCCTGCAGCACTATTCTGGGGCATCTAGAAAGGAGGGGAAGTCTGTTGCTCTCAGGCATTTCTGAGTTTTCAGATCCAACACATATCTAGAAGTGGTCCCGCCACCCTCAACCCCTGCTCCCCCATTGACTCACAAGCAGGAGAGCTGGATTTGCTGGAGGAGTCACTTGTAAAGCTCTGCCTGGAGCACTCACAGTCACTGAGCGAAGCCATGCTTTCGGAAAACCGGGAAGAATCAGAATCGCTTGGCTGGTCCTCTCCCACACACTGCTTCTCGCCATTGAAGGGCATTTTGGGTCACTTAAGTGTGGGTAAAAAGGTAGCACCTGCACAGACAAACAGACCCTGCATCAATGTTCTAGTTTGCTTTCTCTCCTTGCCAACATTTGATGTCCCACTGATGGCATTTCTTGCAAATGCTACCTTCTCCAGGAAGCCTTGCTTTTAGCCAAAGTGAACAACACTCCTCTTGGGATGTCTGCAGCACATCTCCTGCATTTCCAGGTAAGTACTTAGCTCCTTGTATATTAGTCCCCTGTTATTTTCTTCCCATGGCTACTTCTGAATCTCCTTAATAAAGCAGAGATTGTGTCTTGTCCACGACCAGTGCCAAGTATATGACAAGTATTCATTCAGTGTCAGCTAAATCAGAATCCCTGAATCTCATTTGGTAAGCTTCAACCAGAACATTTGCAAGCTGATATCACGACACGTTAACCAGCCTGGTACTGCCAAAGCCCAAGCTCCAGAGCAGAGAATTTACTGCTTAAGCCTATCTTATTAGATTTAAACGTCAAAATTCCCAGTTCCCTGTCATGCTCTTATTTGAATATCTTAAAGTTTGTTTCCACTTTAAGTTGTCTTTTTTTCCCCCAGTTATTCCCCTGTAATATAACAACTGTGCTATGCATGCTCTGCTCTTAATTTTTCTCTACTACAGTTGCCTCAAATGAGCTCTGGCTGCTTTTCCAAGTGAAAGTGAATAAGAGCTTCCAGCCATGAGAATTTATGAACTAGCTTAATAGTTTTAACTGTCCATTTCATTTTTCTACTTTAGCTGGATAGCACACTTGGTTTCTTAATTGTATTTAACAAGGCAGAAAAGTGCAAAGATTAAAATAATTGGGAGTCAGGAGTCCAGGGTTTGTGACCTGAGTTCATCATTAATGTGCCGTGTGACTTTATGCACATTTTTCTGAGAGGTTGGGCCAGTTATAAGGTTTCCCTCAGCTAGGAATATAAGATGCTCCAAACCCAGAGTTCCATGAGGCATCACTGGAAGTTCTGAGAAATTAAATGTGCTTATGCCAGGCATGCTTAATAATGTGTAACTATACTTTTAACTATACTTTCTTCCAGCAATTCACTGGAGGTAGAGTTCCTGACACAGCGGCTGCAATGGAAAATTTTAAAAGCTTCAAAATGTTTAGAAACTTGTTTAGTGGGTATATGCCTCCACATTACAACTGGGCCTTAGTGTATCCAAGCAGAAGCCTGTATTTGAAGCCAAAATGTCCATTATTACTCTATTAAAAAATTGTCTGTTTCCTCATACAGGCTTACTAAGAATACCTAATTCATAGGGTTGGTGTGAGGTTTCAGGTACTCAATACATGCAGAGTGTTTGGAACAGTCACTGACACAGTAAACAGTATACAAATGTTTTCTATTATTTGCTTTTTCTTGTTAATATCATTGCCTCAGGACTTAAACACTCTGGAGGGAAGAACAGTTTTAGGTCAGGATAACACCATGTTCTTCAACAGACGAACAAGGCTGGTAGTTAACATGGAACAGAACTCTTGGCACTTGTTTGACAGACAAAAGCCAAGAGTGAATGGCCCATCACTGTGTGAATGTTCTTCCACGAGTTCCTTCATACCTGCTCTTACCTTTCTCGGTCTTGAGTTTCCAAGTCAGTCACCTGGGGACAAAGCTACTCGATTCAAAAGGCACTGAGGATATTTATGCTGCTTTAAAAACTATTTTGGATTCTCCCTTAGACTGATGATCATGAAACCAGGCTGTTTCTTTAAGAAAGGTAATACTCCTTATGCAAACTTAGATCTACCTAACTTTTGACACTGCAACTCACAAGTAAATCAAACAACTTTTCAGAAACATCACATCTCATCATACCTGGAGAATTTAATCACTGGTCAAAGGTAAAGTCAACAGAAAAGACTGAAGATGACTCCAAGCAAAGCCTCCAACACGATAGCAGGTCACTATTCAAAGAAAATTAAGTACTGTCATATTCACATTTTGTATTGTATTATTCCATCACTTTGTGATAATAAATACAATATTATGTCATTTCTTCTGAAACCAATCACTGGAATGCAGCAAGCATTCAAATATTTATTGTTGAATAAATGAATAGTAGTAAGACTACTGACATTCAAGAGGTGTGAATGGGTACAAGGACTTGAAGGGGCTAGTGCTGTATTTCACTACAGATAGAGAGGAGATTGGTTTTTAATTTGCTTGTGATTCCTCAGCTTGTGTCCAGCTTTACTTCCTTATTTCCTTTCTGTAGCAACTCTATCTGCAAATAGTTCTGCACTGGTTCAGGATTGCGAAGATACACTGATGATAATACACGTCACTGAAGTCGTTAAGAACATTGCCTCTGGAGCTAGGTGGACTGGGTTCTCAATCCTGGCTCCTCTTGATTATTTACTGACTAGAAACAGACAACTTACCATTTGTAAAATGGGGACAATAATAGTATCCACCTTGTAGAAGTGTTGTGAAGATTAACTGAAATAGTATCTGTCAAGTTCTTAAGCTCCTAGTAAGTGCCTGACGGATGTCAACTATTATTTTATTCTTACAAAAGAAGTTACAAGTTCCGAAAATGTAATGTCATAAAAAACAAAGAAAGGTTGAGAATATGTTCCAGATGAAAAAAAAGAAAAAAAAAAAAAAAAAAAAAACACTTGATAACTGAGTGCAATAGGTGATCCTAGAGTGGATCCAGTACCGAAACAAAAATGCTGTAAAGGACAGTATCAGTCAATCAATAACACTGTTAACAATATTTGAATCTATTGTCTATTGTCCAATGTTAAATATACTGAAGTTGAAATGTACTGTGCTTTTCTATTTTGGAATAAAGGGCCATGACATAATACAACTTTTTCTCAAATGATTCAAATGAAAGAGAAAGAGAAAAAATAATAAAGCACATAGGGCAAAATGTTAATAGGTGCATCTGAGTAAAAGGTACACAACACGGTATTCCTTGTATTATTCTTGCAACTTTATCTGTAAGTTTGAAAGTATTTCCAAATGAAAGGTTAAAAGAGAAGATGATGGGCTGAACTGAAACTTCAAGATTCAAATTCAGAATGGTCCAACCTCTTGCAGTTTTGAAATTTTGATTGTGCCCACTACTGTGACAGCTTAAATACCACTCTATTACAAGAACTGTTCTAGACAGTCAAACTTGTCCTGATGTCCTTCTTGAACAGTGGCTAAAGAATAAAATAGGAAATAGGCCAGAGCCCTCCAGAAGAGGCAAAACAGATAATCCTTTTTAAGAGTTCATCCCTAGGTGGGTTCCCTTTTCCTAAGTCTCTGGGCCATGGTTTACAACCTTCTGTGATTTTAACTCTGCCCATCTCATTCTGCAGTGCTCTCCCACTAACCCCTCGTGATCTTCTTTGGGTTCCTCAGACATGCCAAACTTCCTATTTCAGGGCACTCACACCTGCTATTCTCTCCCCGTGAAATGTTCCTCTCCCTGATCTCCTTGTGGTTGGCTCCCTGTTGTCATTCAGATTTGAAATTTAATGTCACCAACTTTGAAGTAACCTTCCCTGATAGCTACACTCACTGCATCTAAATGAGCCAGCTAGAGCTTAGAACACTGCCTGGGCTAGAGCAGGAGCTCAGTGAATATAGTTGCATGAACTAATTACGCCACACTCCTATTCATAAGACACCTTGAGTTTTCCTTCTTTTCTGCCTCACTCACATTACTCATATTCCCATTATGCAGTCACTTACAGTACTACACTTGTGTGCATATCTGTCTCCCACTAGATTTTAAGCTGCTGGTGGAAGCTGTGACTCTCCTCTCCAATTCCCAGTGCCTACTTTAATGCATTTGCAAGGCACCAAAAATTCAAACTAGCAAAGACCCACAGTTCCAGGAGCTTAAAGAAACTCACGTGTAGCAAATAATAACAATTACAGCTAACAGTCACTGAGTGCTTATTACTACCTCAATAATAAGCCATCAATAACTGCTCTATGATAAGTTCTTTATATATTTTATCTCCTTGAATCCTCATTATAACCTTGTTAGCTAAGGTATCATTATTATCCCAATTTTATCCTAAGATCCTGAGGCCCAGAGAGGTTGCATTACTTGCCCAGTGGTTCACAGCAGCGTAGAGGCACAACTCAAATCCAGGAAGCAGATCCCTGAAACCCATGCTCTCTACCACTCCAGGATGGCTGGAGAAAATTTGGTGTGCTGCTCATTCTTTCCACTCCCACTGCCAAATCGATCTACCCATCACCATGTGGACCCTTGCACACGTGGTAGCAAGCTGATCTTATCCTGGTATGGCTGCTCAAGTGCCATTCTGTGAAGGGCATCACTGAAGGAGTTCGTCACCCAAAACAATTCACCACCACCCCGCTCCAGTGACAGAAAATCCTCTAGGAGGGAGCCATTCTTTATGCACCACAAAATCCCTAGTTAAACCCCACGTTAGCAAAAAGGTTAACTGCTTACAGTCATAAACATTTTGGAGTGAAATATTCAGATTACCCAGCAGGGCCCTGAGGAATGGAACCCATCCAGTTAAGGTTAGCTCATGTAAAAAAGAAACTTCAAGAAACATCTAGTGGGTACCATCCTTTAAGACCAGATCAAGGTCAGATGCAAGGACAAGCCTTCGCATACGTGTAGTAAAGGGAAGGGAGTCAGAGGACTAAGTCTGGGCTCTGAAGAAAAAAGTTGCAGATGATGTGAAAAATTTCCCTCTTCTGCAAAATGCTGCTTTAGAATCAGTCTCAAATAGCAGTGCTAAAGTTATTCATCCACAGCAAAGCAAAAACCATAGAGCAGAATAAAGTTATTCATCCACAGCAAAGCAAAAACCATAGAGCAGAGGGATAGGGGCCTACACCATTCATCTAGACAATACTGGTCTTCATCAAGTTAGAACCAACAAAGAGCTAGATAAAAGTCAACAAGCCAGTCACTGTCTACAAAGCAGATGTTCACGTTACACATGGCATTACGGCATCAGGGAGAAGGATTCCTAGGCACTTTTCATATTTGAAAGCACTCCTCCCACACTTGCTGGTCTGTTTTCTGTTAATACCTGTGCTTCCCCTTCTGGGGCCCTCAACCTCTCACAAAATGGCATTGAAGCTTCATCCACACATGACTGGGTATCTTTGGTCCTGGGCCTCTTCAAATCAGGCAATTTCCACTGGCTGTCAGGGTGATGCATGAAATCCCTAGAGAAGACAGGAAAAGGACCACAGAAGGGAGCCTCCTCAAGTGGGAACCACTGAGATAAACTCATTATCCGTTGGCAGGTAAGAAGAGCAAGGTCCCTGATTGGGCTGGTGACCATGGGTGCTGAGACGCCCACTGGGGACAAGGACAACTTGTTCAGTTTCTTCACAGTTAAGGTAGCAGGACAACCATCTAAGATTTTCTCAAACTGCAGTCATTTGAGTACCACTCTTTATGACTATTTCTACATCTCCCTCCTTACCTATGCTATAATTTACTAACCGTGTCTCTTTATCTTAGCTAGATTTTTGCATTTAAATGTATTTATTTTAAAAGGAAATTCTGTCATTGTGAAACTGCTTACTTAATGGAACAGATTTTCTTAATAGTAACGAAAACAAGTAACCATGTTCATCCATGTGCCACCTTAAATCATTGCTATTACCCCCACTGGTGCCACCTACAGTAGCAGCTTTGGGAAGCACAAGCAACCCCTGAGGGTTCAGCGTTCCAGCCCAGGCCCGATCGGCATTTCTCCACCTCTTCCCCTTAACCTAAGGTCCCGGCAAGGGGACGCAGCAGCAGTCTGCACGACCTCGCCCACGTCCTCTGGCCGCCCCTCCCCTCCAGCAGCACCACGTTTCCTGTCAAAACAAACTCTTGGGGGAGGGGACGGCGGAGGCAGAGCTGAGTGCCCGGGAAACCACGGCAACAAACTCCAAACACACGCGGCCGGGCCCGCCCGGCCTCTACCCTGGCTCAGTTCCCCACTCCAGCCCGGCCGAGGGGTGCGGGGGAAGGGGGTGCCCTGGGCCCCTGATGGCGGGATGCCGCTGGTACCTGTCCAGCAGGATTTAAACAGCGGCGAAGCGGCCTCCGGGGCCCGAAGTCTGTGTCCACCCCGACACGCGGGGCGGCCACTCGGTGCCCCGCTCCCCGCTGCCACGCGGGACGGCAGTTCGAGGTCAAACAAGGGGACGTGGAGTGGTGAGACAAGAATTAGGAGACCAGCTTGATGGCCCCTGCCCCGCCGTCCCAGCATGGAGTTCCGAGATAGGGCGGAGGAGCCTTCGGGCTGCAGCAGTGTCCCCTCCGTTGGCCCCGGCCGGTCACCTGCGAGCCGGCAACGCCTTCCCCGTGAAGGATACGCACCGGGTCCAGCACGTAGACAAGAGGAGAACGGCGACGGAGTGATCCCGCGTGAGGGCTCTCTGGGCGTCCCCTCACCGAGCACAGCACTATCACCTCGAAAACTCACCAGTCCAACAACCCCCCCAAACCCAGCGTCCCCCCAGCGCAACGCGGTATTTAAAGGGCCCTGAGGGACTCCAGGGAGGCAGCCACGGCGCGGCCATCACAAAACCGGATAGCGGGGGGACGACGGCACGACGGGGCAAGGGGATCCAGGGCCCTTCAGGCTCCGATAGCCGAGCGCTCACAGACTGAACCTATTAGACAAACAGTCTTCGTCATGTTTAAACCGGAGAAGCCAAGGACAGCTCGGATGGGAGGGTGTTTCGGATGCGAGACGGCACGGTCTCCCCGCGCCGCAAGTGGTGCGGTCCGGGCTGCCGGGGGCGGGGAGAGAAGTGTTTACGGAACTGAGGCCGCCGCACCGACGGGAGCTCCGGGCGTTGGGGGGAGGGGCTTGACGGGGCACTGGGGGCGGGGCCGAGCGGGGGTGCTGGGGTGGGGGGGCCGAGCAGGGGCTCTGGGGGCGGGGCGAAGCCGCCGGCCGAATTTCCAGCTGAGCGCCGAACGGATCCCCTGGGCTTCCGGGCGCACCGGCGTGGACTGCACCGCGAGCTCCCAGCCGCGCGTGGAACATTGAGTGCCCGTACACCCCTGTCTAGACGGGGCGATCCAAACTGGGTGCCCACCACAACACTGTCCACACTTACAGAGACAACCCAACTAACAACGCTGCTGGTGAGCTTTCCCACGGACGTCAGCGACTAACCGCGTCATCTCCAGTTGCGTCTACACCTCCACATAAACACGGATTCAGATTTGCACCTGCACGGGACAGTTAGCTCCTGGGAGTCACACCCATCCAGGCCCTCTGAAGACTTGGTGTGCGTGCAAAAGATAAAGCGTCTTACTTCCTCTGGGGATCTCGGCAGCACCTATCTCCCGGAGAAATTTCGACCTTGGTTAATGTAAATAACCAGTCCCAGGAGGGCTCTGTGCCGTCTGGCCTGCTGCTCCGCTCCTGCTGTGGGCGTGCTTGAGGGTGTAGAGAAACAAGCTTCCCCCAACTGCTCACATCAAAACCATGCCCTCTGCCAGGTGTAAATTGGTGCTGTATTACTTGGGAAATAGTTTCATGCAGGAACTACTTACATGAAGTTTGTATAGACTAAAGTATTTCTGTTTAGTGCCGAAATTATGTCTGGATTGTGGAGGCAAATTGGCCACCACCATTCAAAAACAACAACAGCAGCAGCAACAACAACAAACAACAGGCAACATTTTAAAGCAGGGTAGAAAGTCAGTTGTTTAGTGGTTACAACACAGACTACTCTATGGTTCCAATCCTGGCTCTGACATTCACTATGCGTGAGATCGTGGTCTCTGGGGATAACAATGATAGCTATTTCATTGGGTTATTGTGAGGATAAAGTGAAATAAAGCTTGTGAAGTGCTTAGCTGGGTACACAATAAGCACTCAATAAGTATTAACTATTTGGCAAACCACTGTGGCCAAACTTAGCTGGTGATCTGTATAAATTTGTATCTGTGCCTCCTTTTGCCACTTTCCTCTCTTCTCCTAAAATATACAACCTAATAATACAGGTTCCGAGATTAAATAGAAGGTGCTGTCCCCACCGGAGTTCTTCCCTACAAACATGCCCTTCTTTATGTCATTTGTTGGATAAATAATCAGGATGACAGAAGCCTCCAATTTCAATTCTTGCCAAATGACAGCCACCACACAACTGCCATCACCACCTTAAAAACTCCACAATAGAAAGATGAACACCCAAATCCCCCAAACTTCTGCTAACTCTGTGACCATGACACATGGCGACATTACTTCCTTTGTTAGCTTTGTAAGGATTTAAGTACTGTTTTGTGCTATGACACAAGTTGGAGCAGGTGACCATGAGTCAGGGTAGTTGTCTCTAATACCTGAGTGACCAGCTGCCTGACCCTAGGCATGACACTTCTTTTAAAGTTCAGATACATAGCTTTCAAAGCCACCAGGAAGCAGCTTTTGTCAAAGCAAGTTTCAACATGTGCTGGTGTACAAGCCTTGATGTGGAAGTGGTGGGGGTAACATCAGAGACCCAAGCTGAGATAAGAAATGATGCTGGAAATACTATCTTCTGTTACTTTAATGTTAAATAACTTGCTATCTGAAAACCCTTTGGTGAATTACCTGACCAACTGCCGTTGGCCTGACTTGTGTATAAAAGCACTTTGGGCCAGGTACGGTGGCTCAGGCCTGTAATCCAAGCACTTTGGGAGGCCAAGGCGGGTGGATCACAAGGTCAGGAGATGAACCATCCTGGCTAACATGGTGAAACCCCGTCTCTACTAAAAATACAAAAAATTAGCTGGGCGTGGTGGCATGTGCCTGTAATCCCAGCTACTGTGGAGGCTGAGGCAGGAGAATTGCTTGAACCTGGGAGGTAGAGGTTGCAGTGAGCCAAGATCACGCCACTGCACTCCAGCCTGGGCGACAGTGCAAAACTCCATTTCAAAACAAAAACAACACTTTGAAAAAATGGAGTGCTGTAAAATATAAAGCAGTTCCCTCAAAAATGAGCCTTGTATCACATTGTTGCTCAGAGGGCTCAGACAGTCATAACATCAAATCTTCCCTGCCCAGGTTATGTTCATGACTTTCTGAGAAAAAACAAACAGACAAACAAACAAACAAACAAAACCCCAAAGTCTGAAAAGGCAACCTCTTTAGTAAGTAAAACAATTAGCATTTTATTTGAAGAAGACATATTATTACACGTAGTTTTTCTAACTTACCTTTTTTGAACCACTTGGAGAACTGACAGTAATAACAGTTTGTTTTCTCCCTATAAATTACACGGTAGACCAAATGTGGTCTATCACTCTTGGCAAAAGACTAAGGGCAGATAAAATTTTTATTCGATGAAGAAATAGAAATACTCATTTTCTTTTTACACTTCTGAAATCTGAGTTTTAAATTATAATAAATCATGGACAAAAATCCAAAAATGTACTTACAGTTGGATTTGCAACCTCTCAGCCTTATAACTTTTCTAGTGGAGTTGCATCTTGTACTTTAATGTAATGCAAATTTAGCTATACGGGACTCATCTAGGACAGAATATGAGGAACACAAGAGAATAACTGAAATACTTCCAGTGATCTTGTCCCCTATTTCTCTCCATGGGAGTTTGAGGCTTCTCTTCCTGTGTTGATCAGAGTTTCTGAGCTTCTCATTATGTTCCAAACTTCTTTCCCATGGCTGGCTTCATGGGCGTGCAGTCTGGGCAGTCACACAAGGTCCCACCCTTGGAAGAGCCCTGTGCTTGGTTTAACACTTTGCTGCTGTTATGTTGAGATTCTTAATATTGTGCTTTTTGAAAGAGGGGCTTTGCATTTTCATTTTGCACTGGACCTGGCAAATTATGGAACTGGTCCTGATCTCCCCACACAGAATATGAGTCTAGTGGTTAAAGACACTTATTTTCCTGCCCCTAAGTGCCGATCAATTATTTCAACTAGTGCTCAGTCGAAGAAACTTATGTCTGTTTCAATGCTGGAAGAAGAGAAATAGCCCCAAACAAACAAAAACAACAAAAACTTGGTGTATCCCAGGTCTTATGGCTCATTTAAAAATTTCACTGCACTTTGACCTCATGGTCTTCCTTAAGAGCCTAATCTCTCATGTAAGATGTGAGTCTATTGTAACTGAAAAAAACAAAACAAAACAAAAAAATGGGCCGAGCATGGTGGCTCATGCCTGTAATCTCAGCACTTTGGGAGGCTGAGGTGGGTGGATCACCTGAAGTCATGAGTTCGAGACCAGCCTGACCAACATGGTGAAACTCCATCTCTACTAAATAGAAAAAATTAGCCAGGCATGGTGGTGCATACCTGTAATCCCAACTACTTGGGAGGCTGAGGCAGGAGAATCACTAGAACCCGGGAGGCAGAAGTTGCAGTGAGCCGAGATTGTGCCATTGCACTCTAACCTGGGCAACAAGAGTGAAACTCAGTCTCAAAAAAAATGGCCGGGCATGGTGGTTCACACCTGTAATCCCAGCAGTTTGGGAGGCCGAGGCAGGAGGATCACTTGAGGTCAGGAGTTTGAGACCAGCCTGACCAACATGGTGAAACCTCGTCTCTACTAAAAATACAAAAAGTTAGTTGGGCATGGTGGCACACACCTGTAATCCCAGCTACTTGAGAGGCTGAGACAGGAGAATTGCTTGAACCTGGGAGGCGGAGGTTGCAGTGAGCTGAGATTGCACCATTGCACTCCAGCCTGGGCAACAGAGCGAGAGTTTGTCTCAAAAAAAAAAATAAATAAAAACTAAAAATTAAATTAATTTTTTTTAAAAGGAATCCCACTTTTTTCTCTCGCCTGTCCATCTTCAGGTGCTACAGAAAGGGCCAAAAATCAGTGAGGGGGAAAATACAATAGAAAGCAAAAAGAAGAAAATGAATTTGGCTAATACACATACTAGAGAATTAGGCCCTGAATGTTCAAAAAGTAACTGCATACCTCCTACTCAGTTTTACTGTGAGCTCTAAAAATAAGGTCTATTAAAAAAAATTAACCACACCTTTTAGGCAAATTTTTTTGTTCTATATACTTTCATTTGGAAGATAAGGTAGATCTAGGCAATCGACCAGTTTTGACTATTAACTGATGCTTGAACAATTTTCCAAAGCACCAAAACCAGTTTTCTTTTGACTCCACTGAACGGAATTAGTAAAAGATTAGCAGTTATTTCTCATTTCAATTGCCTGTACCTTTCACATTTAGGCACTGCCCAGTCCCTGACCCTGTCACATACTAAAAAGACAAATATTCTTAGTAATCCCTACACCCCTCCCTGGGCCCCTTCCTCTTACCTGGGCACCACTGTTGTCCCCTGGGAAGCAGAAACAGAATGAAAACAAGCAGTGAAGACAACTCTGGGGCAGGAAGTGGGAGGGGCCAAAGAGAGTTGAAGCTCAAAGGAGCACCTATGGGAGGCCAAACAGGTGATGGCTCAGACCTCTGACCAAGCCAGTCACTCTCTTTTTTTTTTTTTTTTTTGAGACGGAGTCTCGCTCTGTCACCCAGGCTGGAGTGCAGTGGCCGGATCTCTGCTCACTGCAAGCTCCGCCTCCCGGGTTTACGCCATTCTCCTGGCTCAGCCTCCCGAGTAGCTGGGACTACAGGCGCTCGCCACCTCGCCCGGCTAGTTTTTTGTACTTTTTAGTAAAGACGGGGTTTCACCGTGTTCGCCAGGATGGTCTCGATCTCCTGACCTCGTGATCCGCCCGTCTCAGCCTCCCAAAGTGCTGGAATTACAGGCTTGAGCCACCGCGCCCGGCCGACCAGTCACTCTCT